TATTACAGTAAGTTTTGAAGAAGAAAAAATAGATCCAGTTAGGGGTGTCTCATCTTAGGAGGGGAAGGGGGACGAAGAGGATGATTAAACATCTCTATTACAGGAGTTTTTGTCAGTAACCATAGATAATTGCCATGTAATTTATCAACAAATAATTTGTGAAAGAAATCAGCAATTCCCAATAACAAGAAGAGTACTAATTATTTCAGGATTCCCAATACATGTCTCCACATGTATAATTCATACCTTTACGTTATATAGATCGGGTAAGATATTTCAATGTCTCTAGCTGTCCAGGTGACTTATGACTTGTGACGCATATCAAATTTAATCACTGTGTATAAACATGTCCCCGATTTATTGTCATATTTGATTATGTAACAGTCAATTATCATCACATTTTCATATGCCTATGATAACAGAATTCTGCCAATCAGCCATTTAGCTGTGGATGAATTTTAAATAAACCACTGTCTAATAAAAATCATCTTATTTTATCTTTCCTTACCCTCAGGCCAATCGGGTTGTTTTTTTTTTGCCGCAAATGATGGTAAAATCTCTTTTCTAAAAACAGAAAAGTAACAGTTGCTGTGTTTTATAAATGACACCAAAGACAAATGTAGATAAGCATATAATGTCAATTTACACACTAACATAGGATAAAGCATACAGTTATTTCCCAAATTAATAATTCGTTATTATTCATTTGAAATGTTATTTGGGGCGCAGCTACGCCTGTATCCCGATCTACCCCCTGTTTCCAGGATCATATTTTTGTTCGTTTAGATATCATAATAAATATGTATTGTTTAAAAAGTGTAGGCATGTTCATCATACCAATTTAAGGTCTCAGAAAGGGGGGTTCGAGTCGTTTTTTTGGAGAAAAAACACCTAATCGGCAAGGGGAATAACGTCCAGGTATTAACAGCCAAGCGGTCATAATTATAGTAATTAGATCGAATTTAAAAGTGTCCTTCTTGGGGGTTTTAAATCTCAAGTTGTTGTTAATCCGGGTTTTTTCTTAGCCGGCAATAAGATACAATTTTTTTTTTTTTTTTTGAGTTTTACAAATATATCCTGTTCAGTCTTGAAGGAAACCCCACTTTAGCTCGATACACAAGGGACTTTGTTATTTTGTGGTTGGCATAGATGTACAAATTATTAGTTTCCGTGTAATATCTTGAAAGTCAGACGAGTTAGCCAAAATGCACACAAGGATCTTGCTATGGCAATAACATATTTTTGGCCTTATTGGGGAAAAATGAAATAAGACGCCTGTAATTCAGTTTGTAAGAGATTACAGATGGATGGGCAAAATGTTGACTCTGAAGAACCATCAAAAGCATTTCAAATCCAAAATCTTACCCATTAAATTGAGGCTCAGAAGTAATGTGTTGAGGAATAATATCGAGATCGACAGATAACACAAAATGCATGGTTTTCGGATTTCCAATGAAATTTAAATCTGGATATTCCTAATAATCGTTGCTAACAAAGGCATGTGCTTTGGCAGACATCTTTTTCAAAATGACCTTCAACCTGAACTGGGTTCGGTTTTCATTTCCGAGATGGTTATACAAAAAAACATCCATTCAATTAGAGAGTTGTGGTGAATCAACTGTGACCAAAATGTGTCTGTTTACGGAAGAGTGGGGTTGAAATTTCATCATTTCATCAACCTGCTCCTTAATGGCCATCAGACATCCGGGCAAACCACAAGGATGCATCCGGGCTTTCATGGTCTCTTCCATTGACTGGTATGTAACCTGTCTCGGGACAAGAATTTTAGAGCGAATAAACTTTGTTTAAAGATACTATGTCCCTTTTGCAGCCAACATCAAATTCTGTACCCCAAAAAGGGTAAAATTAAGGTTAATAAATGTAAAAATACACATTTTTTTTCCAGGATCCGCCACTGAAGTAGGGTCTCTTTATTGTACTTGCAAGAAAACATTATTTGGCCTACATCAATGGTTTTAACATCGAATGTAACGTTGTTTTACTCTCTATGTCATGATAATACATCATAGTCGATAGTTTAACTCCCCTTTAAGTTTAGAAAACCAAGATCATTCATTGCAATTAGAAACAACTGCTCAGTGAAAAAGAATATAGGAAAATCCGAGACAATTTGATTCTTTTTGACTGTCGGACATCCTGCATCGTGCATATAGCCAAACCTCTCAGTCATATGTAAGGTCTAGTCTAGTCATGCAAGCTGCAGCCACAACAGGATTGTGGAGGTCGGATTCAGATTTTAGTTTAAATTTATTTCAGAATTCCATCAAAGTATATAGGCCGAAACATGTAAATACATGAAACACGAATACCTAAACATATTACGATCCGCCCCAAAATACGGCGAATGGACATTGAAATGGAAATACAAGGATCAATTACCCCAAAATAATAAAATGAAAAAACAACATATAAACAAACACACACAGAAATCGATAAATGATAAACCACACCCCCCGCCCCAGAAAAAAAAGCGAATGAACAAAGAATTGTAAGGATTAGTTACCCCTAAAATAAAAATAAAATAAAAAAAACTACCACAAAACAAGAAGATAACATAACAAATACAAAGAAAACCGAACAGTACACTCCACCAACCCAAACCACCTGACTTTTTTAGTACAATTTTTTTCCCTTGTTCATATTATATCTGATGGTTATGCAAAATTGGAATACCAATTTTTGAATGATATAATATTATAACCATAACGAGTTCTACATGATTCGTTAGAAGGTGAATTTGATGTCAATGATCATATGCGAAATGACAGGAAATTCATTATTGTTCTCGTGATTATAAGTCAATATTACATTTCACCCACTCGTCTATAAGGTAAAAGTGCGGCTGTCTAGGAAGCTCTGGGTTTTCCTTTTCTCTAGGGAGGTTGGGCAATTTGTGGTTTATTCATGAATGACTAGAAGAACAAACATATTAAAACCTTTACCAGTGAGCTTCATCATGGTAGATTTTTTTATAAGCTATGAATGTTTGATGCAGACAATATCATTACGGGCAGAATGTTTGTTAGTACAGTGGGAGTTGTGCACTAATGTTTACCATTAATGCCCGCAAGATGGCGCTGTTTTTCAATGCGTAAATATACATGAGAGAAACGCATTTACATGAAGGTATAATACGGTATAAATGTCATACAATAGGACCAGGACGAGTTCTCCATTAATAATTTAGGACTTTCTATTGAAAATGTCAGAGTGTGTCCGAATACAGCCCATCAAATCACCACAACAGCAACAACATAAAACAAAGGAACAAAAACAAAAAAGGCAAATATAATGCCTCATATATTAATTTATATTTCATTTCAAGATTTTTCTTAAGCTTTCGCTCCGGCCCGTTTCCCCCAGATGGTTTGATCAGGCTAGTAGAATCAATTTACGTGTGCGCGTTGACTAAATAAGCAAATGCCTGAAGCATATCCCCGGCTTTATGCTTGTACCACGCTCCTAAATGGTGTTTCGTTGTAGCTCTAGATGCTGGATTGGCCTATGCGTTTACTTTAGGATGTTTGCTAACCCTTAGAAAGTGATGAGATCATCATCAAATGTAATGGGTCAATCTAGTCTGATACTTCTATCAAGTGAGAAAAAGGTGTACACTCGGCCGATGATATGGCGCTTTTGACGACATCTCTAAAGTGGACTAGAAATTGAGATAGACGTCATATCTATTACCATCAATACGCATTGGATTCAATCGTATTTAAATCGTGACATTTATATTCTCTTGATCTCGAAAGTTGCTGCTTTAAGCTTGACATTTCTCGAAAAAATTGACAAATTAATGCAGCAGATAATTACGAATCAATCCCGATACACGAACCACGTCTATCTACTTGATCGTTTTGGCTTGGATGTTCTATATAGAAATCGTTGTTCAGTACGGATTTGAAGGAGATTTGATCCATTAATTCAATTACACCGAGGATCAAGGAAAATAACATATCAGCTCTGGTAAGTAACTGTTTGCAGTAGAATCGTTTATTTAATTACATTTGTAAAAAACCTGATTACAAATAGGCCTGAACACTCTTTCCAAAATGTTGTTCAAAACAAAATAAGTAGGCCTACTTCTACTTTTTCATGCTAGTTTGACAAAATCAATAATTATACTATTACGAGTCTGCCAAAAATCAGCTTTTAGTATCGTACAAACGATGTTCATTTTCCCATAAATTTTCAGTACAACCTGGACGAATGTTGCTTGATTAATTGATTTGTAAAAAATACATGTTAGTGAGTAGAATTAGTAATCAGGTTAATTCGCTACAGTTCTACCTATTTCTCAATTTTGATTTTCTGTTATGTAGCGATAGAAATGAACGTTTTAACTTTGTTATGAGAACTTAGACAAAAGAATGGATCTTCAATTGTTTAGTAAACATCTAAAGTTGATGAACGTTGTAATATAAAGTTAGAACATAGTTTGTCATCAGGGATTTTTCCTATTAAAAACCACTTCTAAACTTTGTCGCGGTGTAGGTTG